AGAGAGAGAGAGAGAGAGAGAGAGAGAGAGAGAGAGAGAGAGAGAGAGAGAGCCATAAAAAGGAGCGAAATATATATATATATACAGTCAAGGTTATTGGCCGTAAGGTATTAAAGATTATACGAGAATTTCACTCTTCGCGTCTAAGCTCCACTCATAGTCACGTTTACGTTCTATCTCGTTCACTTTTCGACTCGATTTCACTTTTTTTTCCCATAAAAAGGGACAACTCTGTCTTCGAAAAGGGAAAGGAAACGAAGAGGGCACGATTGTACCACGCTCGAGGTAAGGAATGGCACACGAAGCAATCTAACAACGCTTGGTAAATAGCCTCCATCAGGGTTTATCGATTTGAGGAAGAGGGATATACACGTGTGTACATGTCTGGAAATCACAGGTCGCGTGGATATCGTCGAACGAGAAACCAACGGCTCGCGTGGCACGAAAAACTGGCCGGTTGCACCGAAACGAACCACTCGCGTGAAGCGAAAACTCGAATCAACGACCTTGATTACGCCTTCCCTTCCCTTCCCTTTGCCATTTTCGAGATAGCCGCGGTTGATTGCGATCAGCGTATTTGCATCACGAGTTCGCGTTTCAAGTTTCGCGACCAAAACAACAAACGAAAATAATGAACCTTTGATTCGAGTGAAATTCTCTATACCATTGATGAAACGTCGATACTGCGTAGACATCGCTCGATATTTAACGCTTGTGTATCCAATTGTCAAAATTGTTAATATCGTTGAAATTTTTCTTCGAAATTTCGATCGAATTGTAATTCTGGTAACAATGGTGAAATTTGAACTTTGAATATCTGAATCGTAATGAAATTCGAATATGAAATTACGTATATGATCGATGAAACGCGTGTAAATAATATTGTATTTAACCTTTATGATCCATGTGCAAAATTATTGACATCGTTCACTTTTTAATTTCGATAACGCTAAGAGTGATAAAATTATAAGATGGAGTATAAATCAATAAGTAACGATTGAAAAATCTTTGGATAAGAAGATAAAATAAGATTAAGCGAAATTTTAAATGAAAGTATCATATTGAATAACGATAGTGAATTTTGTGGTCGTTTCCTGAATTCGTGAAACGTTCATCGAGTATAAAATTGCAGTTAGTCTTTAGTACAATATTTATTCGTTATATATTTCAGAGATCATCTCTATCATTGATAGAATCCAATGAAACGATAATAGAATCACGTAATTTAAAACGAAATAATGACTGAACTCGAATAACGTGTCACCCAAGTAATACATGATACTGAATAATGACTGAATTTCAGTATTGTGATACCGAATCCATGTAATATGATACCGAATAATGACTGAATTCGAGTAATATGGATCAAAGTAACGTGATATCTAATAATGTTTGAATTCGATGATGGAGCAACACGATATATAATCACTGAATTCGAATATTCAAATAATGCGATCCGGAATAATCATTCCAACTAATACAGAGATTTTACAGAGATTAAATTTTTTCAAACATTCAATCTCTCGATTCCTCTTCGTTTTTTCACTAATGACACTTTCATAATGATTTAACGTACGTTTGATAAAACAAGGATATAATTTCGTGTTGCTCGTAGCTAAATACTCGTGGCTAATTATAGAATTGCATACAACGAATAAACGCTGTATGTGCACGGAGAAATCGTTCGAACAAAAACACTTGCGCGGTCATTTTTGCACTGAAACCCGACATCCACTCGAATGCATCTCAATCACGACGGTTTTCAATTCACGAGAGAATATCACATGAAAGGAAGAAGAAACGATGATCGAACGAAGATTCGAAGAAAACTGCGGGATATAAGGGGACGTTGGCTATAAGGAGAAAAGCATGACGAGAATATGCACACGCGTATCCCTCGGTCAAACACGAGCATCGAACTTGGACGTACCCATCGCCGACACCACGGCACGATTGTAGCCAATGAGATCGCGCGATCTCAGCCGCATTGGCGGTGCGTGAGAGAGGTCGCAGGGAAGAGAAACACACGCGGCACCTCGGTGTCTCTCCTTTCAAGAAATGGAATCGTTCCGACCTCTCGATCCGCCCGTACTCCTCGACCGAGCACCAACAACATTTCTCACCTAACCGAAATTATTCCACTGTTTCTCCGCCCTTCCTTGCTCCTTCTTTCTCCTTCTTTACCTATCTCACTCTCCGTCTCCACTCGCGCGACCCGTATACGCCAAACAAAGGAGGACACACGGACGTAAATATATACGAACTGTGTATCACCGTGACCGTCTTCCAAGCACTGTTTAACATTGACATTGGCAACGCTGCCGCGCGCTACCAAATCACGTTGCACGTCTCCTCTTTCTCTTCGTCCACTCGAAAACGTCGAACAATCACCAAACAGCAAGGCGCAAGTGACTTGCCCGTTCGCCACTCACTGTCGATACGCGACACCGACCGGTCGGTACCACCAATCGGATCACTGGACGAACCCTCTCCAACGATCACTATGCATCCTCTTCTTGTTGAAAGCGAGGAAATCGTGCACGCACGGTGATCATGTGACTAGAGCCAAAACCGTCACGCACCGGCGATCCCTGCCACGATCCTCCGGCACCGAAACAAACTTTTCGTCCACGATTGCGAGGATACCTCCTCCTTTTCTCTACCTCCCCTTCTCCGTTTCTCTCTCCTCCTTCCCCTTTAGTCTTTAATTAATCCTGCGATGCGATATCGGCCTGCAAATCTGCGTGTATTGCCCCGTATTGGCCATGTACATGTACATCTTCACGAGGAAGATGTCTCGCGTTGAGAAGTAGCGAAAAAAAAAAAAAGAAGAGGAAAATTAAAGAAAAATTAAAGAAAGGAAAAAAAAAGGGATCGTAAGAGAAGAAACGAACCGTGGTGATCGTAAACGCGGAGTAAACGATCAACGGAGTCGCAAAGCGAGGTAACTCGCGCGTGCCTTGAAAAAGAGAGCGACGATGGGTCCGTAGAGCCGCGAGAGCGACGAGAAGAGGGGCGGGGGGTGGGTGTAAGGAAAAAGGCACCCCGACTTAAAAGAAAAGGCGGGCGGCCACGAGACTCCCGCGCGGAGCCCAACGTTTCGCCTCACTGCCGGGCTCACTGCAGGCTCTGACGCACCAGCCTGCCGCCCCCTGTACGCCGCCACCACCCCTTCCCAACACCCCCGACTCCCCTTACTATCCGTTACTACCCCTTCGACCGCCCACCTTGCTTCCTACCCTCGCCATCTGGCTCGCTGCCTGCATCGCTGCCTGCATGCCTACCTGCCTGCCTACCTGTCCACCTATCCAGCTAACTCTGATCTCTCTACTCGACCTCCCTTGTCTCGACACTTTTGCCCCAAACTGTTTACACACTTGTGCCTATGCTAACTCTCTTCTCGCGCTTCCTCTCTACTTCCGCCTGCCTCTCTTTCTTTCCTCTTTCGTTCCTCTCGCCACCTCTGCCACCGCTTTCCTAATACCTAGTATACCCTCTCTGTTTAGCGTGGTCGGTCTAGAGGCGTTCTCTTGTCGCTCTTTCGCGATCAAACTGGAGGATTCCTGCTTGGCTGTGTGTCAGCGCACAGGCGCACGCACACACGTACACACACCGCGCGCGGAACAGCCTTTACAGTGTCGTAGTTTCGGCGCACACGCGCACCTAAGGCGTGCGGAATACCATACCAGGGCTACCGGCGCACACCTGCGCCGTACCGTGTCGTACCGTGCTCTCTCCCCACCACCACCGAAAACCTTCTGACCACCATACGCGATTTCGCTCCCTCTCTCGAGCGCTGCCTCTTCCTTTCCACAGTTGTCGTACAGAGTGGTCTTCCATATATCCGTTGCGTGCATTTCTTCCCGATGCTTTGGCATTATCGTTATCGTTATCGTTTTTATTCATAAAAATAGGGGAAAGAGGATGAAATGGATTACCATTGTTTTTTGCATGCGATTCCTCTCTCTTTTATAATTCTTCCTTCTTAGAGTTCATTTTATACGTGGTCTTCTATATTTTCTTGCGTGCAACAAATTCTTTCTGTGTATATATATATGTTATCTCTATGGATGTCTTTAATTTCTTGGATGTCTTACTTTTTTTTCGTTACGTTTTTATATATGATAATTCATATCCCCGTTGCATGCATCATCGATTTCTTCTTTCTGATGCTTTGATATTCTCGTTATCACTCGATTGTATTCATACAAATAATGATGGGAGTAGGGTGAAATGGGGTATCATTGTTTCTACGTCCCTCTTTCTTTCATGATGCTTTTTTTCTTAAAATTCTTTTTATACGTGGTCTTCTATGATATTTTGCGTGCGCTAAATTCTTTCTTGTTTTTTTTTTTGGTATTCTTCTTATCGCTCATTTATATCTGTAAAGGTAAAAGAGAGTATACTATTATTTTGTTAGGCGATGTCTTTATTAACTGTCATTTTTTTTAAATTTTTTTATACATATTCCATTGCCTGCACCGATTTTTTCCTCCGTTTAATCTCCTCGTTAACAGTTGTTATTCCACGAAAGGAGAGGAGAGAATAGGAGAGAATAGAGTAGAATGGAATACTATTGTTTTGTTGAATGATCCCCCTCTTAATGGTTTCTTTCTACGTAGTTCCTTTTGTACATGATTTTCCATATTCAGTTGCGTGTACCAATTTCTTTCTGTATTTTAATATCCTCATTATCCTTTTGTATCCGTTAAAATTAAAAGGAATAATGTAAATTGAAATATCATTTTTTTTTTATTGGATTTATGGATACTTTTTTTTACATAATTTCTTTCTATCCTTTGGTCCTCTCATTACGAATTGTTTGTCTCTACAAAAGGCAAAAAGCAGAGTAGGATAAAACAAGATACTATTATTTTATTGCATTATTTTTCTTAAATATTTATCATTTTATTATATGAGTAATTTTTTATAATATAGCCATGATTTAAAAACAACATATTAAAATAAAAATTACTCTTTTTCTCAATAAGAAATTAATCGAAATATAAATTAAGTTAATGACTGATTGCAAAATTTTGCGATTAATTCATTTGGTTCACATTAATGTTGAAAGCTAGGGATTGAAAATCTCCATATAATATAATGTCTTATACTAATAGAAATTTTTTTTAGACGAATTATTTTACATTTTCAAAAAAAAGAAAATAAAATATTGAAGATTCTATTGTATTCCTTAATCTTTCTTTTTTATAATAACATCTCTGAGATATTATATTTCTAATAATTGAGATGTTATATAATTTTTAAAAATCTTAACATCATTGTATTCTATTCGAAAATATAAATTTGATAATTTTGAATATTTTTATCTTTTTACAATTTTTATTAATCAATATGGAGTTTTGGACGAAATTAAATTAATATTTCTTCATCTCTCGATTGAATCGAGTAAGGTAATTAAGAAAGAAAATTTTTTATACTCGATTAAATAGTAAAGTCGTAATGTCGTAAGAGAAAATTTGAAATAGTAGAAACGCACAAAGGAAGTGTCTCTCGCTAAAAGATTCTTTATCTTTGCTAAGTAATCCCGTTGTTCAGGGGGATTAATCGTAACTTTGATTCGAAAAGCTTCGTACGAAGAGTAAACTCGCGAATCGAATCGACTTTAAAGTTGAATGGAATAGAATTATTTCATTGTGGAATTTCGACTCGTTTTACGGTGCTATATAACGTTATACGATACGTCGTGAGCTTTGAGATGCTTTTAAGACATAGAAGAAAGTAGGATGAAATAGAATATCGGAGGAGATATTTTTATTGCTAGAGAGCGAAAAATATTTTAAATCTACAATATCAAAATCATGGGTTTGAATATCAAAGAGAACAATTTTTTTAATAATTAATAATTATACTGCGGATTTTTATGAAAAGACTAAAGAAATAGAGCTTGAGCAAAGATTTGCCTTACTTTATTGCGAATAAGAATTTATTAATTTATTAAATCATGCATATGAAATTATGTTGTTTCTTTAAAATACATATTAGAATTAATAGGATATGATCATTCATTAAATTTGAGTTCGATACATAAAAAAATAAGAAATTTATTATAATTTGTAAATATTATTACATTTTATATAAGAAGATGATCGAGAAATTCATGATTACTTAAAATTTTAAAAGCATCATTCTACAATTATTAATGCAATACATTGGTTGCACAAAACTATTTTATAATAATAATCCGTTTTATCTCCCAATTTTAATAGAAGAAATAAATGAAAAAAATTAATGGATCCAAAAGATCAACACGAAGTGTTTCTTATATAAAAAATAATTTTGAACAGATCAAAAAATATAGAGAATAATTATTTTCGATTACGATTTGAAAATAATATCGTTTAAAAAATAATTTGAAATTTTATATAATTCTAAAATTAATTTTTAGTGCAAATTAATTGTGCATAACTACCATATAATGTTTATATGAATTACAAATTATATTTATATTCAAATTTTTTAAATTCTAAAATTCTTCTTCTTTTAGTAGTATCCTTTGCAATTTATTCATTTTCTAATTAATTTAAGAACAATTTCAAAACTTTATTGTTCCGTAGTAAGACAAACTTTTTCCGTGAAAATACTGTCATTATTTTTATGAAATTATTAATATTACACCGGCTCTGTTGGAAAGGTAGCGTTCGCCCAGTGTCGTTATCACCAACAACAAGAAACCGATCCAAACTTAGCACCGCTAATAATTAAGCACTCTAGGTAGATGGTAAGAGGCATTGAGTTGGGAAACGAGGCAAACCGCTTGTTAAGTGTGGTATGTATGTACTTACACTTGTGGTTTTTCAATTTACCGAACCAGAGGTAATATTCATTTAATTTAATCAACTAGATCTAGTTAAATTATTTCAGCATACAGGATAACGTTAATATTTGCAAGACATCTTTAAAAGATCGATTCTGTAAATTCAAAATAAAAATGAAGCTTATTTATAAGTAGATTGTATACATTTAAATACAAAATTTAAATGTACAAAGAAGTACAGAATGCATATGATATATATAAAAAATTAGAAATATTCAAAATATAGTAAAAAATATAAGTATGTACAAAATATTCAACGTATAGTATATATTATGGTATTTGAAGAATATGGCACTCTATATAAGCTCCATTTCTTTAATCGTATTCATAAAAATTTTATATTGCATAAACTGCAATATAGTTATGAGCCATTCAAATTTATTTTATGAAAGAAGATGAAGATAGAGTGAGACGACGATATCTATTGATATCTTACTTTATTAATATTAAAACATATTCGTGTAAATTTTAAATTAATTTTAAACTAATTAATTTTTTAAAGATTTTTATTTGACATTTATTTTTTATAATCATTGTAAATTCGTGACATTTTCTTTGCGATGTTTATAAAGAATA